CAACTGGTTCAGATATGAGAAATGAAAATATCTTTATAAACATCGTCTTAACATTCTAGAAAATCAAAATGTTTCACTCTAGATCTGCTTGCTAGAATGAGAACATTCTAGAAAGTGAAATACTTCGAACTGCCTATGAAACTTATGAGGGGGCAATGTTGTCTTTGATGTTCGGGTTTGTATACATAGTGTCTGAAATTCAGGGCAAATGGTTCAGAAATGAGGATTGAAAATATCCATATGAACATCGTCCTAACATTCTAAAAATTCAAAATATTTCACTCCAGATCTGCTCTCTAGACTAAGAACATTCTAGAAAGTAAAATACTTCGAACTGCCTAGGAACTTAAGAGAGGACAATGTTGTCTTTGATGTTCGGGTTTATATACAGAGTGTCTGAAATTCAAGGCAACTGGTTCAGAGATGAGGATTGAAAATATCCTTATGAACATCGTCCTAACATATCAGAAATTCAAAATATTTCAATCTAGATCTGCTCTCCAGACTGAGAACATTCAAGAAAGTAAAATACTTCGAACTGCCTAGGAGCTTATGAGAGGGCAATGTTGTTTGTAATGTTCGGGTTTGTATACTTGAGTGTTTGTAATTCAGGGCAACTGTTTCAGAAATGAGGATTGAAAATATTCTTATAAACATCGTCCTAACATTCTAGAAATTCAAAATGTTTCACTCCGGATCTGCTCTCCAGTCTGAGAAAATTTTAGAAAGTAAAATACTTCGAACTGCCTAGGAACTTATAAGGGGGCAATGTTGTTTTTGATGTTCGGGTTTGTGTATAGGGTGTCTGAAATTTAGAGTAACTAGTTCAGAAATGACCATTGAAGACATTCTTACATACAACTGTTACATTGGAGAAACTCAAAATGTTTCACTTCAGATCTGCTTTCCAGCAAGAAACAAGAAACTTCAAGGAGTTTTTGCCCTATGATTTCAAAGACTTCTGATCGTGATACAAAACTCCTGATCAAAGACTAAACTAACGACCAGAGACTTTGAACATAATGATTTTCTTCAAATGGAAACCTAAGTAGAGTGAACTTCTGACAGATCATGACTTTCAATTGTTATGTTCTGCAATCGATTTCCGAGCAGAAAAAATTCATGAAATTGAAACTCAGGATCATCTATACCCTTTGGAGGTTCCATATTTATATTCATATTAATATTGAGTTCCTTTTCTGCAATCTCTTCATTGGTATAATGTGAAATTGTTGTCGTTTGTTTGTCCTGGGCAACTCTTACCTCACCTCCACACAAGGAAGAAGAGGATAACTAGTGGAAGTTGGTATCTGAATTACATTTCTAGTTCCAGAGCATTTTATGTCAAGCCACTGGTTATTGTCTAAGGAAATCAGAAAGTCAGAAAGTATGATAAAATGTTGTTAAAGTTAAAATACCAATGAATGTAAAAAAGAACAAGCTCATGATGTAAATGTTAAAATGTCCGAATATTGATAAATGATTATTGAATAACATAAAATCGATAAACCAAACTCGATGTAAAGCTAATTGGAGAGAGCTTCTTGGGTTCGCGTAATGCCGGAATAAGGTGGGCAAATTAATACCATTCAAGCACGACACACACAATATTTAAATTTATTATACGAACATGTGCCCTTTTAGTTTATACACGACTCAATTTGCTATATCACCTGAAAAAGTACCAGATCGTATCTCTATTGTCGTGTGGATGTTAAAAGCTGCGCCTGAAATTATTTTATTTTACCTACCCAGCGACATCCTGTTGCGAACAGGGTCACCAAGACCAAGTGAGAGGGATTTTTTAAAGTTAAATTATGAATAGTTTAACATGAATTAGGCGTAAATGGGCCTAGACGGTGTTATTATTATTATTTTTCTCATTATTATTATTATTAAAATCAATGTTCTATTTTAATAATGGATAATAATTATCGCAAAAGAAGTTTGTTCGGTTTCTAATCGATTTGTTTTTTTAGTCATTATTATTATTAGGTAGTTTTATTTTTATTTCGAAACTTGTAACATTATCGTAAAGAAAAATGGAGAAACCTCTATTATTGACTGTTTTTGCAAGAGAATGCAATTAAAATCAATTTGTTGTTCGTATCGTATTGAGAAAATGGCTGTTGAAGATAAATCACAACAGCAAGAACGACAATGTTGGAACTGGAAGGCTTTAGTTAAAATTTGCCTTAGCATATCCTCATGTCAGGTCAGCAAAAGAAGCATGCGGGAAAACCTTGAAAAAGTATATGAAGATGGAGTTCTATCTGGAAGGTAAGCCCTAATACGTGGTTTGGTTCGAGTCAGACTAGAAAACTATGAAACTATAGAGGCATATGTAAATGAAACTATGTCACTGGCTCAAAAATTGAGTGACATATGATCCAATGGTAATGGCTATTGAAAACTCAAGTGCAGTGATCACAAAAAAATTTCATCAAGGCTGTATTGCGCATGCGTACCTTCCTAATCATTTGAGAAAAAAAATTTGCTTCTAAGAGCAAAATATCTTTGTTGGCTACTGTGAACAATCCAAAGGATATAGACTCTTCGATATTGAGAAACCAAATCATATAATGAAATCTAGAAATGTGCTGTTTTTTTAAAAACCCTACAGTACCTTTTGATATTTCCCAGTAGCAAACAATTCCAATTTTTATTTGAATCTAAACTAGAAGTTATGAGGATCGATCCAGCTGAAAATGATAATAGTAATGAAACCTTAGACGAGACAGAGAATCAAGAGCAAATGCAAAAAGAGTTTAAATGTAGGTACTCAGATATCTAGGAAAATTAAATTATTCCCTAATCATATACTCAACTATGCATTGGAAGAAGTTGGTGAGCCTTGTTTAGTGCAAAAAGCCTTAGCTAGTGAATATGGAGATGAGTGGAAGAATGCTATGGATGCAGAAATGCAATCAATGAAGGATAATATTGCATAGTGGACATTCCTAAAGACAGAAAAATTGTATAGTGTAAGTGGGTATATCGAATAAAAGATGGTTTGAATGGGGGAAAAAAGACGATGACTCATATTTGGGTCATGGTACTCTGTAGTTAAAATTTACATGTGCAGAGTCCTATGACACATATTTGGTTTAAGAAAACCTCAACATATTGCTCCACATGTTATCAGGCATACTATCTACCATGGTATAATAAGGCCCATTAGTAGGTATCGTTATCCTAAGTTGTCAATGCTCCAATGCCTAAGTCCATGCCCCAAATATGGATCAAATTTGTATTTTGCATAGTTGCTTTATATATTACAGAGTCCCCTGTAGATAACGAGTAGATTGATCGACAGTCCGTCTTAAAAACTAATATGGAATAAAACCCAAACGTGAGCGAAATATGGGGCACAGGACTTGCATAAAACATGAGGCGTGACCCATATATGGGTCATAGGACAGTGAACGTGTGTAAAGCTCGTCTTGTAGTCAAGGGTTATGCTCAAAAATATGGCGAGGACCATACACAAACATTTTCTCCAGTGGTAAGGAATTCAACCATCCGCATTATCTGTAAATTTAGATCTAGAAATAGATTACATTGATGTCACTACGGCCTTTTCAAATAGTGATTGAATGAAGAGATTTTGATGACTGAACCAGAGGAATGTGTTACTAACAAAAATAAAGTTTGTTTACTGAATGGAGCTATTCATGTTCTAAAAGAAAGTTCCAGAATGTGGAACATCCAAATTTTTCAGGGATTATTGATGTAGGAAAGATATTTAAAAATTCGTATAATGTACCCCTCATTTTCTACCTGGAACCATCCAAAAAATAAATAAATACATAATACATTTGAAAAAAAAGCAATTTGTTTCAAATTTTATTTTTTTTTGGGTGGTTCCAGGTAGAAAATAGCGGTGTAATATACGATACGAATTTTTAAATATCATTCCTACATCAATGATCCCTGAAAATTTGAGCAGCCTAGCATTAGCCCTCCAGATGATATGAAAGGGGGTTGTTTAAATTTCAACACCCTGTATTTTGGAAACGACGCACTTCCGACCATTGGTGTCCTGAATTACTTTTCTATGGTTCCTCTCCTCTATATACCCTAGCATTTTTGACCAGTTGAATGGGGACATCCTATATTGTACAAATACAGTATCACCTATTCTGAATGCGCGCTCCCGCTTTATCACGCTATATTTCGAAAACGGTTGGTCGTACAAAAAAATGTATGGAAACAATTTTGTAGAAAATACTATTTTACATAAGTTTTGTTATGGATTTTTTGACGTCAGATGCACTGGAAGCGAGATTTTCGCGAAAAAACGATTTTCGTGACCTTTGACCTCCGATATCTCAAGAGGCACAAGGGTAGGCATATTCGAGTTTTTTGTGCTTCATTAGAACATTAAAATGAAGGTCTCTGCAAAAATTCAGCTTGTTCGGGCTCATTCCGCAGATGATCCTTTTTTGGTCTAATTTCCCTGGGGTGGTTGATTTTTAAGAAAGATAATGATAATATTTCTGGATATAGTGACGCAGATTGAGGAAATGACATTAATGATGAAAAATCATACAGTGGATATGCGTTCAATTTGGCTCGAGTGACAATTTCTTGGGAGGCTAAGAAACAAAGTTGTATAAGTGTATCCAACACTGAAGCAGAGTATGTTTTCTTATCATTGGCCACAAAAGAGACTATATTTCTTAAGTATAGGTATATTTTAAATGAGCTTTTGGAATTGGAGGATGTAATTTTGTTGCGCAGTACAGGCGAATGGTGTTTGATTGAAGCTGAAGTTTAGAATATTCCGGAAAGTTCAAAATCAAAATAAGTAAAAGATTGACAGTTTGCTTGTTGAATTTCATTGATTGAATTGTTTTTTCAAATAAAACAAGAATAATAATACTTTTATAATTTATCAAGATGGTGGATTACAGCAAGTGGAAAAACATCGAGGTGCCTGACGATGAAGACCCACCCCATCCTTGTTTCGCTGGCGGTACCATGCAAGAGTTGAAGGCATGGAAGAAATAAAAAAAGAAAAAGAACAGTTAGATACGAAAAAGGCTGAAAATCTGAAAAAATTAAAGGAAGCAGAGCAAAAATTAATAGAGGCCAAAGAAGCAAATAAACTAGTTTATGGATTGTAAGGGTTTGGAAATGGAAACTAAAAAAATTGAAAAGGAGTTTGAAGAATATCAGAAAAAGGAAAAGTTAACTCTCTGGAATGTAGACACTATATATAAGCAAACCTGGATTCGCCAAAACCATCATTAACAAGCGACCACCAAAACCAACTGATGAAAACCCAACAGAGGAAGAAAGAGAAGCTACGCAAATACGAAGATTCTAAAAAGTAGGTACCTAAAAGAATACCCAAATTTGGTTTGTGAAAACACTGCTAATCACCTGGTCAAATGGTGCATCGATTTAGAAATGCAAGAGAAACACGATCTGATGGGTTATGTGGCCCATCAAACTATTTGTATGCAATACATATTGGAATTGGCTTTTCTCTAAAATCAAAGGTGCTGGAGAATATAAAACTTAGTTTGATGACGAATTGAATATGTTCAAAAAAAAAAATTAGGAAAAGGGCTGCAGAGAAACTTGATGAACTAGTAAAGGAATATATGAAGAAGAAGTAAGACAAAAACGCCTAGGCCCTGATAGTTTAGACCCAGCTGAAGTTTACGAATCTCTCCCGGAAGAATTGCAAAAATGTTTCGATGCCAGAGATGTAAAACTGCTTCAAGAAACCATTTGTAAAATGGCCAAATATCATATCAAAAGGTGCGTCGATTCGGGATTATGGGTACCACAAGGTCCAGAAGGCACCCAAGATCCTAAAGAAGATAAAAATGAATAAAAATAATCTATTGAAATATTGTTACAGATAGGTAGGTAATAAATTATGACATTACAAAATCACTTTTTATTTAGCATTAGGTATTTGTTGCCAATTTTAATTTCATTCTAAATTGTCTTTATATGATATAAATATACACTCATCAAAATAGTCTAGGGAACAAGAAATATCTGTCTTTCAATTTTAGGAAAGAACAACTTTTTAAAAAAGATAAAGTGCAAGTATTATTTATCGAACAAATCTTGTTTAATTTACCATGTCGGCTTTTTTTTGCAAACTTATTTAGTTTAAATATTTTAAAAATAAAATCAGCAAAAATTTCTGATAAGTATACGAATTATCTTGTTCCCTAGACTATTTTGATATGTGTATTATTATTTGCAACCATGTATGTAATCTTGACATTACTGACTTTTTAAAAATTTGGAAGTGTCACTTTACCTGTGTCACTTCCCTCTTCGATTTCCCTCACCGATTTCTCTATTCGACTTCCCTCACCGATTTCCCTCACTGTAATTTATTTACCTTTGCTGGCAACAAATGAGAACATGTCAGGTAAAAACGTCAAAACAGTGAATGACACATTTTGGCATGTTTGTTTTATTTTTTCGATATTAAAAAATTAAATGATTAATCATAAATGATGGCGTGCTTGCAAATAAAATAGTATACAAACCTCGAAGCAAAGTCTCTCGAAGGAAAGTTTACATTACACTTCCCTACTCGGTATGTAATATACTATTAAATATATATATTATTGATTTTCAATGATAATTAAAGTGCCTAGAAATTGGTAGTGAATCCTATGTTTCACAATCGTATTAAACATATGTCATGCAGCTGAGAATGGTTTTGTTAAATAGTTATTGACAATAATATGTATCGCCCTCTATTATCATTTAGTAGTACTAATGTCATGTTTACTGTAAATGTCGTACATGACAATATGTGTCATTTTTCATCTGTCATATTCCTGTTTAAATAAAGAAGTGGAGAAACAGAGTAGTTGTCCACAAATACTCAACGAGTACACTGCGTTTTATTTAACAGGTTATGGGCCCAGGCACAAAGTAAAATAATAACCTGTTCGGAGTAGTGAGTACTTCGCTTTTGTGTGTTTAGTTGCAAGTGGTGCAAGATGTCGGCGAATAATTATGTCGCGAGTGTTCCGAGGCTTATTGGCAGAGAAAATTACGATGATTGGGCGTTTGCGGCTGAAAATTTCCTCATCATTGACAATTTAAACAAGTGCCTAGATGGAAGCGAGACGGATGACGCGAAGGTCGCCAAAGCTAGAGCCAAGCTTATCTTGACCATAGATACATCGTTGTATGTACACATAAAGGACACAAAGACGGCGAAAGATTTGTGGGACAAGTTGAAATCCTTGTTTGATGAAGATTACATTATTGCGCAAGCTCATCTCCATGAGACTCGAAAATTGCGATACAATGGGTTCCTATGTAAATCAGTTGGTTGAAACGGCTCAGAAACTCAGAAGTACAGGCTTTCAAATAAACGAGGAATGGATTGGTTCATTGCTGTTGGCACGTTTGCCGGAAAAATTCTCTCCGATGATCATGGCAACATTCAGAAATTCCCATAACAACAGACGCCATAAAAACGAAACTTCTTGATATGGAGCATGATGTCGATAAAGCAGGTAGTGCTTTTACTAGCAAATTCAAAAGTTCTTCGATTGGCAGAGATGGCAACCCTGGCGGTAGTAGTGGTGGTACGTCATATGGTAATGACAGCCATCATAACCAAGGAAATGTCAGAAATCAAAACATCGGAATGTAAATAACTAAAATTCAAATGAAAAGACTAAAAATGCTTTTAGTGTTGTTTTTCTAAAGGGAAAATTTAGCAAGCAGGATTGGTACATCAACTCTGAGAAAATGATTTTAGTGGGTTACGGGGAAACAATAAAGGGCTATAGACTATACAATCCACAGACCAACTCAATAATTACAAGCAGAGATGTTGTGATTATGGAGAAAGTAAATGAAGAGGTTTTAGTGAGTTTGGACTATGAAAAAGACAATGACAGTCCAAATAGCGACACTGTAACCTCAGATCCTACAGAAAATGAAGAATTACAAGAATCAGTGGGGGACATTTTCGAAGAAGCAGACAATTTGGATGACAGTGAATTTGTACCTGACTGTAATGAAGAAATTGAAGTGCCAAATGAAATTCGTAGATCAATGAGACAAACTAAGCCGAAGAATTATGAAGATTATGTGACCTACATGTGTGCAAATATCGATGTTGATCAAAAGAACGACATTGATCTAAGTTGTGAACCGATTAATGTAAAAGAAGCCCTGTCCAGACCTGATGGAGAAAAATGGAAGAAAGCCATGGAAATTGAGCTCTTGTCATTTGCAGAAAATGACGCATGCGACCTTGTGGATCCTCCGGAAAAAAGTGTTAGTGTGGACAACAAGTGGGTTTTTAAACAAAAAAGTCACAGTGATGAAAGTGTTTATTATAGAGCTAGGTTAGTAGCTAGGGCTTTTGTACAACAAAAAGGTGTCGATTGTGACGAAACCTTTGCCCCAGTAGTTAGACATAGTACCTTGAGAATGTTAATAGCTTTATCTGTTAAACTAGATCTCGACATAATGCATTTGGATATATGTACAGCTTTTTTGAATGGTTTTTTGGTCGCATGATTGATGATTGCCTCATGAAACCAGTTTTCATGAGGCAACCAGATGGGTTTATTTCTCCAGAAAACAACTCAACAAAAGTTTGTAGGCTCAAAAGGGCTGTTTAGGGTCTTAAGCAGTCTTCAAGGGCCTGGAATAAGAGAATTGATGATTTTTTGATTCACTTAGGATATGTAAAATCTCAGTATGAACCTTGTGTATATATAAAAAGATCCAATATTTTTTTGTTAATAATTGCTCTATATGTACCTAGATGATTTTATAATTTTTTCTAATAATGTCACTGAAACTGAAAATCTAAAATTTGCATTGAGTAAAGAATTCAAAATTAAAGATTTAGGGGAAGCTAAAAAGGTTTTGGAAATGGAAATTAAAAGAGACAAAGCTAAGAAAATTATAGAGTTGGGTCAAAAAGAGTACATAAATAAGGTTTTGAACAGATTTAGGATGAATGATTGTAAAACAGAGAAAACTCCTAAAAAAGTGAATGTAAATTTTGAACAAAATGTAGAAATTGATAAGGGTTATCCATATCAACACTTTAATGGGAGTTTAATGTATCTTGTTGTTTTAACTAGGCCAGATTTATGTTACACGACAAATTTTCTTAGTCAATTCAATAATTGTTATAACAATAGTCATTGGATTCAAGTTAAAAGAGTTTTGAAGTATTTGCAAAGAACCAAAAACTATTGTTTCAGAAAAGATGATTAGGACATAGAAGGTTTTGTTGATGCAGATTGGGCTGGAAACGTGAAAGATAGAAAGTCTTATTCGGGTTTTGTTTTCAAGCTCTCAAGTGGCAGTATTTCTTGGGAAAGTAAAAAGCAAAAATCTATTTCCTTATCTAGTACAGAGGCTGAATATGTAGCCATTTCTGAAGCTTTCAAGGAGGCCATATATTTACAGAATTTGTATTCCGAGTTGATTGGGAAATTTTCAAAAATTTCAATAGACAAAGTGCTCAGAAATTAATCATAAATCCAGTATTTCATAAAAGAACTAAGCACATTGATATTTGTTATCATTTTATCAGAGAGGCTAATTAGTAATTACAGTATAGGATCTCATGAAATTCCTCAAAATTCCATTAAGATTTCAATTTCAAAATTCCATATTTTGTTTTTTTAACTTTACTAAAATTCCTCAAAATTTTACCACTGAAATATCCTGGAATTCCACAAAATTTTCATAAAATTCTTTGGAATTTCATGTAATTTCTTAAAAATGTCTGGGAATTCACAAAAATTTTATGAGAATATCCACGTTCATAACCGAAAATTTCTCGAAAGTCCAATGAAACTTCAAGGAATTATCGACAAATGTCATCTGTCAAATTTGACACATTTTCGACTTTTTCTCCGCTCTACTATAAAAGCTACGAAAATCAAACCCCGGTACAAGGCAGTTTCGCGACGCTAACTATCGATTTGTGTCAAAAAAAATTGACAGCTGTCAACATCAAAAAAGTTTTTTTTTTTATTTTGCGAATTTGGAAAAAAAAAGTGATAGAAAACGATCCTTGGACCCAAAAACCTTAAATAAAAATTCCAAAAAAAAAAACAACGAAAATGACATTCCAAAACCTACTTGATAAAACTGAAGTTCTTCTCACTTACCCCGTTAAAACACTGGAAATTTTTGGTGGAAAATTAAGAAAACTCAAAGTCTCGTACTTTAAGTCGGTTTTTCCGACCAGAAAAACCCTGGAAAAGCGGACAAATTCAAAGAAAAACCTCTAAAAATGACATTCCAGAGCCTACTTAATGAAATTTGAGTTTTTGTCACTTACCCCATTGGAAAACTGGGAATTTTTAGCATAAAATGTAGGAAATTCAAAGCCTCGGTTTTCTTGACTGAAAACGGCTTGGAAAAGCGGAAAATTCGAGGAAAAACTGGATAGAAATGTGAACACGTCAATTAAAAATTGCCGACTGTCAAAACTAGCAAATGACATTTATTACAAAACCTATTTGAAGTTGGTACAAACGGTGTTGCCATATCAAAACTTAAAAAAAAAACATTTTAAATGGGATTTTGTTATTTATGTCATTTTTAAACTGAACATTTTTGCTAGAAAATGAAGAAAACTCAAAGCCTCGTATGTTAAATTGCCTTTTTCCATTGAAAAGCCCCGGAAAAGTGAAAAATTCGAGGAAAAACTGGCAAAAAATTACAAGGCGTCACTTCAAAATGGCCAACTAAAAACAACGTTGCCACATCTCATTTCGGAAAACAAAAATAACATTTTAAAAGGGTTTTTTGTTTAAAATTCAATTTAATAATTAATTAATAATGATTAAAATAATTAAAATACTCCAA